AAGGGGCCGATGTGGTTTACCCGCAGCAGTAGATTAAACGTCTCCCGGGTCCGGCCACAGGAACTGATCCCTGGGGTAGGGGCTAGATGTGAGCAGCTGCTCCAGAAGGAGCCCCGCAGGTGTTGGCATCCCCATCTGTGGGATGTGAGTAGGGGGCATCCTTCCCATGTGTCCACAGGCCCCCTGACAGAGTCCAGCTGAAGAGGGCAGCTGCCCCTGGCCACCCCCCACCCCCCTGCAGGGCCTGCTGCCCCTCACCAGCATTGTGGATAAGGATGTCCAGCCGTGGCTCGGAGCTCAGGAAGGCAGTTGCAAAGGCCCGCACGGAGGCCAGACTGGCCAAGTCCAAGGCCATGAAGATGACCTCATTGTTCCCACTCTCCTGTGGAGCGGCAAGGGCTTGTCAGCAGGCACTCCCTCCTCTTCCCTCTCCCCAGGCACCAAATTTTGACAGGCCTACTGGTACTAAAATCTGCCCCTGCACATTAGCATATGGCAGATCAGTATGCGGATTTGAATCCTGACTTTACCTCTTGCTAGAGTGTGACCTTGGGCAAGATGCTTAATCTCTCTGGGCCTCCATTCTCTCACTGTGGGATGGGAATAACAATACTAGTACCTCTCTCGCAGAGTGGAGTGAGGAGTTAACGAGTTAATGTATGTAAAATGCACACAGCACAGGTACTCGCCATTGTTATTATCACCCCTTCCCCCATTATTACTTACCTAAGTCTGTAACCGACTTCTCATTGGTCTTTCACCCATTACACACCCTCTTTCTCTCTCCAGTCCAAGAACCACAGTCACAAAGGAATTGGTCTCAGATAATTTCACAGTTGTGACAGTGATCTCTGGACCATCCTACAAAACCAAGCTCCTCAATAGTATCATGACTCAGAGCCTCCAGCCCCTTCGTTTTGCCCCTCCTCATATTCTGTGCTCCAACTTCACGAGATCCTGTTTTTCAGTCTCAAATGAGAACAGCTGTGTCGCCTCAGGGCCTTTGCATACGCTGTTCCTGCTGCTGTTCCCATGCCTACTGTTTTTCATTAACCTAACCCTATTGATCCTTAAATCAGCAATTTAAAACAGCAAGTTCTTCCTTCCGGAAGTCCCCTCCCCACCTTGGTCCTGGTGCCCCTACCACCTTATGAGACCAGAACATTCTGCACCCTCTCTTCTGCGCTTAACGGACCCCGCCGAACTGTCCTCTCAGGAACTGGATCCGGAGCCGCTCTGCCCGCCCTCGGTGACCCATGTGTCCTCGGCTGACGTCCCAGCAGCCGCAGCGTTCCCTTACCTGGCGGAGATCGAAGACAGCCGCCTCCCCGCGCTCCCGGCTGCGACAGGCCAGCACCACGCGCGCTCCTCGGCGCGCCAGCTCCAGCGCCGTCATCTTCCCGATGCCGCTGTTGGCGCCTGCGGATGGCG